TTTAGCTCTAGCTCGGTCAAAACAAGACGCACAGCCAAAAGAACGACTGTTTCGTGCTGCTATCGACCAATACTAACAACCCCTATCACTCGTTTTTCGATTTTGGGAAAATCAATTTTGGCCCAAATTTCGCATTTTTGATAAGGGGTACCATCATCAAAATTTTCAAAAATGGGCCAAAAATGAAGTTTCCCAGATTTGAATACAAGCCAATTGGGAATCATGGCAATCAAGTAACGAGCACTACGAGGTATTACATTCCTCATTTGGACCATTTTTGGCTGTGCTATGGCCAAAGAACTGATTTTTTATGCCCGAAATTATGCTACGTCTTTTGACAGCAGAAAGCACGGCCTAGTTGCCGTTTCTTAGCTCTAACTTTGTTAAAACAAGCCGCATGGCTAAAGCAATAGCTGTTTTATGCAGCTAACTTTCAAAACTTAACACCCCTATACTTATTTTCTTTCGTTATTCTTCTGATTTTTTGGTGCGAGCTCTGTTTTAAGTGCTGAAAAATCAGGAAACCGGCTTTTTAGCCGTTTCTTAGCTCTAACTTTGTCAAAACAAGCCGCATGGCTAAAGCAATGGCTGTTTTATGCAGCTAACTTTCGAAACTAAACACCCCTATACTTATTTTTTTTCGTTATTCTTCTGATTTTTTGGTGCGAGATCTGTTTTAAGGGCTGAAAAATCAGGAAACCGATTTTTAACAGAAATTCGCAACATTATTTTCGGCTTTTTAGCTCTAGCTCGGTCAAAACAAGACGCACAGCCAAAAGAACGACTGTTTCGTGCTGCTATCGACCAATACTAACAACCCCTATCACTCGTTTTTCGATTTTGGGAAAATCAATTTTGGCCCAAATTTCGCATTTTTGATAAGGGGTACCATCATCAAAATTTTCAAAAATGGGCCAAAAATGAAGTTTCCCAGATTTGAATGCAAACCAATTGGGAATCATGGCCATTAAGTAACGAGCACTACGAGGTATTACATTCCTCATTTGGACCATTTTTGGCTGTGCTATGGCCAAAGAACTGATTTTTTATGCCCGAAATTATGCTACGTCTTTTGACAGCAGAGAGCACGGCCTAGTTGCCGTTTCTTAGCTCTAACTTTGTCAAAACAAGCCGCATGGCTAAAGCAATGGCTGTATTATGCAGCTAACTTTCGAAACTAAACACCCCTATACTTATTTTTTTTCGTTATTCTTCTGATTTTTTGGTGCGAGCTCTGTTTTAAGGGCTGAAAAATCAGGAAACCGATTTTTAACAGAAATTTGCAACATTATTTTCGGCTTTTTAGCTCTAGCTCGGACAAAACAAGACGCACAGCCAAAAGAACGACTGTTTCGTGCTGATATCGACCAATACTAACAACCCCTATCACTCGATTTTCGATTTTGGGAAAGTAAATTTTGGCCCAAATTACATTCCTCATTTGGACCATTTTTGGCTGTGCTATGGCCAAAGAACTGATTTTTTATGCCCGAAATTATGATACGTCTTTTGACAGCAGAGAGCACGGCCTAGTTGCCGTTTCTTAGCTTTAACTTTGTCAAAACAAGCCGCATGGCTAAAGCAATGGCTGTTTTATGCAGCTAACTTTCAAAACTTAACACCCCTATACTTATTTTTTTTCGTTATTCTTCTGATTTTTTGGTGCGAGCTCTGTTTTAAGGGCTGAAAAATCAGGAAACCGATTTTTAACAGAAAGTTGCAACATTATTTTCGGCTTTTTAGCTCTAGCTCGGTCAAAACAAGACGCACAGCCAAAAGAACGACTATTTCGTGCTGATATCGACCAATACTAACAACCCCTATCACTCGATTTTCGATTTTGGGAAAGTCAATTTTGGCCCAAATTTCGCATTTTTGATAAGGGGTACCATCATCAAAATTTTCAAAAATGGGCCAAAAATGAAGTTTCCCAGATTTGAATGCAAACCAATTGGGAATCATGGCCATTAAGTTACGAGCCCTACGAGGTATTACATTCCTCATTTGGACCATTTTTGCCTGTGCTATGGCCAAAGAACTGATTTTTTATGCCCGAAATTATGCTACGTCTTTTGACAGCAGAGAGCACGGCCTAGTTGCCGTTTCTTAGCTCTAACTTTGTCAAAACAAGCCGCATGGCTAAAGCAATGGCTGTTTTATGCAGCTAACTTTCGAAACTAAACACCCCTATACTTATTTTTTTACGTTATTCTTCTGATTTTTTGGTGCGAGATTTGTTTTAAGGGCTGAAAAATCAGGAAACCGATTTTTAACAGAAATTTGCAACATTATTTTCGGCTTTTTAGCTCTAGCTCGGTCAAAACAAGACGCACAGCCAAAAGAACGACTGTTTCGTGCTGCTATCGACCAATACTAACAACCCCTATCACTCGTTTTTCAATTTTGGGAAAATCAATTTTGGCCCAAATTTCGCATTTTTGATAAGGGGTACCATCATCAAAATTTTCAAAAATGGGCCAAAAATGAAGTTTCCCAGATTTGAATGCAAACCAATTGGGAATCATGGCCATTAAGTTACGAGCCCTACGAGGTATTACATTCCTCATTTGGACCATTTTTGGCTGTGCTATGGCCAAAGAACTGATTTTTTATGCCCGAAATTATGCTACGTCTTTTGACAGCAGAGATCACGGCCTAGTTGCCGTTTCTTAGCTCTAACTTTGTCAAAACAAGCCGCATGGCTAAAGCAATGGCTGTTTTATGCAGCTAACTTTCGAAACTTAACACCCCTATACTTATTTTTTTTCGTTATTCTTCTGATTTTTTGGTGCGAGCTCTGTTTTAAGGGCTGAAAAATCAGGAAACCGATTTTTAACAGAAATTTGCAACATCATCAAAATTTTCAAAAATGGGCCAAAAATGAAGTTTCCCAGATTTGAATGCAAACCAATTGGGAATCATGGCCATTAAGTTACGAGCCCTACGAGGTATTACATTCCTCATTTGGACCATTTTTGGCTGTGCTATGGCCAAAGAACTGATTTTTTATGCCCGAAATTATGCTACGTCTTTTGACAGCAGAGATCACGGCCTAGTTGCCGTTTCTTAGCTCTAACTTTGTCAAAACAAGCCGCATGGCTAAAGCAATGGCTGTTTTATGCAGCTAACTTTCGAAACTTAACACCCCTATACTTACTTTTTGCGTAATTGTCCTGATTTTTTAGTGCGAGCTCTGTTTTAAGGGCTGAAAAATCAGGAAACCGATTTTTAACAGAAATTTGCAACATTATTTTTCGGCTTTTTAGCTCTAGCTCGGTCAAAACAAGACGCACAGCCAAAAGAACGACTGTTTCGTGCTGCTATCGACCAATACTAACAACCCCTATCACTCGTTTTTCGATTTTGGGAAAATCAATTTTGGCCCAAATTTCGCATTTTTGATAAGGGGTACCATCATCAAAATTTTCAAAAATGGGCCAAAAATGAAGTTTCCCAGATTTGAATGCAAACCAATTGGGAATCATGGCCATTAAGTTACGAGCCCTACGAGGTATTACATTCCTCATTTGGACCATTTTTGGCTGTGCTATGGCCAAAGAACTGATTTTTTATGCCCGAAATTATGATACGTCTTTTGACAGCAGAGAGCACGGCCTAGTTGCCGTTTCTTAGCTTTAACTTTGTCAAAACAAGCCGCATGGCTAAAGCAATGGCTGTATTATGCAGCTAACTTTCGAAACTAAACACCCCTATACTTATTTTTTTTCGTTATTCTTCTGATTTTTTGGTGCGAGATCTGTTTTAAGGGCTGAAAAATCAGGAAACCGATTTTTAACAGAAATTCGCAACATTATTTTCGGCTTTTTAGCTCTAGCTCGGTCAAAACAAGACGCACAGCCAAAAGAACGACTATTTCGTGCTGCTATCGACCAATACTAACAACCCCTATCACTCGTTTTTCGATTTTGGGAAAATCAATTTTGGCCCAAATTTCGCATTTTTGATAAGGGGTACCATCATCAAAATTTTCAAAAATGGGCCAAAAATGAAGTTTCCCAGATTTGAATGCAAACCAATTGGGAATCATGGCAATCAAGTAACGAGCACTACGAGGTATTACATTACTCATTTTGTTAATATTTGGCTGTGTTATCGTAATATCACATATATTTTGAGCATATAAACTAGATATGCCAAATATTGGATTTATTAGTGAAATACCAGCTTTTACAGAGTTCGTTATTTTCAAATTTTTAGTTTTATAACATGCACAGAAACGTTCTTTTAATAAGCTTTTTTGTAAGGTTCATTGACCGTATTTAACATACGTGTTTGCGTTGATGCAACTGAAGACAACTACCGTGATTGTGTATAAGCTTTTTTGTATTTTGATTTCTTTGCCTTTAAGTGGAGCCGAAATAGGAGCCGGAGATCAAAACAGTGCTGATTATTCGACGTAATCTGCATTTAATCCGTGACGTCATGTTAGACTGCAACAGCTGCACACACGGCGTATGGGCACTGACCACTTCCACTTCCCGTCGTTATTTATTTGAAATCTCTCCATTTGTTCTGCTTATTTGTGTTATTTTTTGCTTTCATGCTTAGGCCGAAAAGTGGATCAAAACGTGACACTGAAATCTAAACATAAATCTCATTCATAAAGTATGCAGACGGCGCGCGTCGCTTTTCGAGCTCTCTTTTTGGTGCCTCACGTACCCACTGACTCTCTCAGCATATTGCTCTCAGAGAGCGACGGTGTAACTGTCGCCAGTAAATACACAGAAAAAAATAAAAATATATTAATAAGTTGTGTATGTTATAATAATCACAAATAACAACAGTTTAAGCTTAAAAGGGAATTCCTAGGGCTATCCCGACTGCGCCTAACATGAAATTCTTTAAACCAGTTTTGTGCAGTGTATTACAACATGCAACCGAAGCAACTTCGGCTGGTCGTTCGTGCAACTTCGTCGCTTCTTGACTATTTCAAACTGACACCGCGCAGAATTGTCAGTTTATTTTGAACAACCGCGGCGAGCGCATAGAATACGCAAAACGACTATACAATCCCAAAAAAAAATCCAGAGATTCAAAACAGAAGTGCAGAACCAAACAAACGAAAAGAAAATTGGATAATCTTGCACAGATTAATTGGCCCAGAAAGTGTCTCAAATTGTCATTTTCTTTTTTTTTCAAGTTCAGTTCTGTGTTAAAAAGTGCGAATTAAAATCTGTTAAAAACATCGAAAAATCCGATAAGGACATATTTCTACCGATAGCCAATGTAAATGTCCTGTTTGTATATATATTTATACTCGTATAAAGTATATAGAAAACCGATGTGGAGACAATAACAACGAACTTTTGCAGTTTATTGACAGCAGCAACAGCCACAAAAACCAGATTGAAAGCAAACAACAAACAACAACTTGAAGTAATTTGCAACTGAAAAGAAATGCGGCAATGGGGCACAAACAAAGTATAAATACATAGATTGGCCGATCGGCCAGAAAAGCAACAATAACAACGCTGAAAAGCTACAACAAAAAAAGAGAAAACTTTTCGTAGACGACACTTTGAAAGACCCACAACAACTTTAAGGGGAGGTCTCAATGGTCAGATGGTGAAAATCTTTTTCAGAGCGTCTGATCTTGTTGCTAAAGTCGTTGTTGCTGGCGGATCTGTGCAATGCCAACTTTGCCCACTGGTTTATTTTTTTTAACTGCTTGCTACAGTACTCTCTCGGTATCTTTCTCCTCTGATCTTTTGTGATCTTTGCTTGGATATTATGAAATATTACCGTTTGTGCCATCATTTTTAGTAACTTACATACAATCCGACTTATTTTTGTCATAACGTAATTTAAAATATTAACTATTTTTCTCCTTACTGTTGCTTAGTGATTTGTTGGCATTTTCTTATTATAATTGTTTACACTTCTTTTTAATTTTTTCAATAACATTTATGCCATTTCTTTACTTTTTTATATCATTGAATCAAAATCGAATACTTCTTAATTGAGTTAAAAGCATTTCAATAACAGAATGCCAATTAATAGCACACTTCAATTTGCGCCTAAAAAACAGAAAAAGGCAATCGATTTACCCTATTAATTGGCCGATTTGCAGAACTTTTGGCTAAACGAAAACAATTTGTGCTGTTAACTGGCAGCATTTCCCTAGCATAAATCACTCTGGCACATCCACATCCGTAGCATCCCAGATCCAGCTACTCGAATTATGATAAATGCTAGTGACTGATGGAAAGTGCATATAGTAGGGTACATATATAGGGTATCTAGATAGGGACGGACGGAGGGGCATTGTGGGTGGGTAAATCGCAAATTTTCAGCGTCAAATGCCATTAAGCCAGTCCGCGTTATTGAGTTAAATTGGAAAATAAGCGAGCGACAGTTGCTGTTGTTGTGTGCCTTGTGCAATTGTTCGCACTTGGAGACGACAAACTGGGAATGGGAATGGGAATGGTAATCGCATTCGGAATGGGAACTGGAACCGAACCGAACTAAACTGAAAACAGAAAACAGAAAAAAAAAGACCACAGCCATACGAACTGGACAGCCCTGGACGGCCCAGACCCATTACCCCGCCCATTCCCGCTTATTATTTGCACTATTTCATTATTATTATTATGTTCGGGGGAGGGCGGACGATCATTGCCGCGGATGATAGTTATTCCAATTATATAGTGGATAGCTAGACCCTCGAGCGGACATTCCGAGTCCGAATCTGAATCTGAATCTGAGTCCGAAGGGGTTGCGAGATCGTAGGAGGATCGAGATTAGAAGACGCGTGCTCTCCTGGGACTTCAAGTTCAGATCTATTAGCAAGGTTAACCTGGACCTGTGGTGCCAATTAAATTCAAAGATATGAAGAAGATACATTAACTTCCAAGTCCATAAATAATTCTTAATGAGTTACTTTGAAAGCAAAGCATTTCTAAACTATAAAAAGTGTGACAAATAATTGTTTTTATTTTCTTTAAAATATTTATTAAGTCTTTTAAAACCCTTAATGACTAGCAGTGCATTTCAATATAAATCCTATTTCTCTTCATTTTGGCTATATTGCCAGTTCACACGCAATCTTTTTTGTGGTCGAACACGAATTTTCCCAGATTCCATGGAGCTCGATTGCAACAAAACATGTGATCATTAGCATGAAACCATTCTACGGGTGCCGCTTCTTTCCCATGAAAGTCGAGAAGAATGAAAATTTTGGCAACTCAACTCTTTATCTCTAAACTTTGGCAATGTTCCACATAGGGGTTTTTTAATGCCTTAGTTATTAGCTTTATCTGATGGTTTTAAAATATTAATGAATGGAACTAATAATTACAGGAGATTAAATTATGATAAGCATGTAATAAATATCTAATATATGAGGACTTTGAACCAATTTTGGATTAGTTTTCGAATTGATGCAAAAATGTTCAGCCCTGAATGCTTTTTGCCATAAATAGTTTAAATAAATAGATGTCCTCGTTTATTTATTTGCTTCGGTGACCATGGTAGCAACGGTCGCTGCTGCTGTTAATTTTTGTTTTATTTTTTGTTTGTTTAGTTATTGTTTTCATACAATCATATAAAATATTTGCATAAACGAGTGCCAGCCTGTCCATGTGTGGACATTTGTGCAACAGCTGCAATTGCCTAACCAAACGCCCCCGCTGGCACACACACACTCGGGGCAGTCGGTACTCCAGTTACATGGCACAGACAAAAGGAAATGCCAATGAAAAGCACAAAAAATAACAAAGATTATAATAACCAAAAAAAGAGAGCATTGAAAAATTCAACAAAAATTTGTTTTGTTTAAATATACGAGTATGTTATTAATACACCCAATTGTGGGCCATTTAATAGATGGAAAACACTGCTAACGTTTATGATTTATACTGCAAAGAGGCATAATAGAAACATAGTGGAGGTTCCGTGGTAATATAGCCATGTCTAAAGTCTGATTTTCTTTTACAGATCCCCCGAAATGGGCAATGCGGGCTATACATGCATACGCCGCACCTTCTGCTGGCTCAACATCATTCTATGGGTAAGTTATTTGGCAAAGAAATTTGTGATTAGGAATGAGTTAGCTTAGCTTCTGACTTTCCTAAACCCAATTAATTAACATATACATTTCTATACTGTTTTTCTGAGTGCAAATGCTGATCAGGGAGTATAAACATGTAGGAGATGGAATCGTAATAGGAAACAGAATCAGAATCAGAAGGTAGACCAGCTAATCAGAGGCACAACTTTGCAGTCGTCTGCAACGGAAGTGTCTTTGTGCCAGCATGTTGCATTGTCTGAGCGCCTGTCATTGACTTTTCGCCATTGCCTTTGCTTTTGGCTTTGGTTTCAGTTCAATTCAGTTTCAGTTTCAAACTCGACTTTGACTTTGGCGGTGACTTTGCTTTCAGCTTTCTGAATCTGCAGCTGCAGCTTCCGCCGCTAGTGGGCTTCCCTATCGAAAAGTCCCCCTCCGATCCCCCAAATGTCACATGTCAGCCTCTGTGGACATGCAACAGTTGTGTTTTGCCTTTGTCATCGCTGATGTCTCTGCATTCAGCTGCCAATCGGAGGAATTATCTGATTTTTGTCTCTGAAAGATAGATCCTTCAGCGGATACAGCATCAATGGCAATTAATCAAGGTCTGTGTCCAAATGACACTAAAAAAATAAATTAACGTTAGTTAAAGACATTTAATTGGGACATAAATATTGTTTTGGGCTCTTAATCACATTTAGTTTTGGTTACAAGTGCATCGCCCTCTCTCTTTTCAGGCATTCTGCATGGTAATCAGTGCCTTTCTAATTTCTATTTTCCAATTTCTTATTCGACCCATTGCAGCTATGTAGCTGTGCATTTTTAGGAGCCGGACTGTGGCTGCGATTGAGCTACGAGGGCTACGCCACTTTGCTGCCCCAACACGCCGGCTTAAGTGCGGACACCATCTTCATGGGCATCGGGGGCACTGGATTCGTGGTCAGCTTCTTTGGCTGCTGTGGCGCCTGGGTGCAATCTCGCTGTCTTCTCGTATTGGTGAGTAAGTGCGGATCAGGCTTTGGGAAATTAACACTGTGAAATATACCAGTAATGCCAAAAATTAAAAAAATATTTAAATTGGATGGCATTAGAGGTTCACTTAAATATTATTCTAACTGTGGTTAAAATGCATATTCCTCCCTCCGTTTCCGCAGTACTTTATGCTTATTGTGATGCTGTTCATGAGCGAGTTCCTGGTAGGTTCGATCGCCTTTCTCTTCCGCGGTGGACTGGGACGAACTTTGGCCAACGAACTGCGCTTCGGGATCGAGAAGCACTACAACACCAGCGATCGGGGATCTCTGGTTGCACCTTCGGTGGCCTCTATTTGGGACAGTGTACAGCATTCGGTGAGTGGCGCCTTTCCCTTTTCTACCAGTTCTGGCTGGCAGCTAATACGTTGAACCTTTTTGCAGTTTGAGTGCTGTGGTGTCTCCTCGTATGAGGATTGGTACGATATCCAGTCGTGGCCGGGAAAGCGCTGGGTGCCCGAATCATGCTGCAGGACTCTCTACGACCAACGACAGGTGCTCATCGAGGGATCCGGTGACGGAATGATGCGCCCCGACTGCGGCAGGTGAGTTGAGCTTTTCATACATATTCTTTATATGTAGTGTTATGTATCACCTTCAGATCTGAAAATCCGTCTCTGTGGTGGGACAAGGGCTGTGCCCATTCGCTGCAGAGCTGGTTCACCGGACAGCTGAACGTTGTGGGTGCCGTGGGGCTGGGTATCGCCTTTGTCCAACTGTTTGGGCTGATCACCTCGATGCTGCTCTTCTGCACGGTAAAACACAAGCGGGCCTCGGACACCTACAAGTCGTACTCCCCGTCAATAGATCCCCAGACCCGCACTAGCAGTTGGGAGGATTGAACGCGACTGTAACGGCGCTCGGCGAATTTCTAAATTGGGGGCTTGCAATCACCCTCAAACCCTGTCGCTATCTCTATTATATTTGTTAACTCTCTTTTAGTTGATAATTCATTCTGCGAAATGTGCCAAAAATTAATTTAATTCAAAGGGTATTTTTTTTGTTTTTTTGTTGTAATCTGTAGGCGAAGACATATCGAACAAAATTTAAGGCGTTAAGACCAATCACTATATGGAGTGTGAAAAGAATGGGTTAATGCTCCCAGTGAAACAATCAAATATTTGCAAAGTTATTTAGTTAGCGGTGTATCCATATTGTGATGTGCTCTCTAGTAGTATAGTAGATGGCCCAACAGACCCGGAACACACATAAAACGGGGTACAGTGCGTTTCATAGCTATTCGGAAAGCACTGCACTTAAAACGAAACAGCTTGTGTGAAACGGGCTTAGGACCTAATTATGCTCCGAAACCCTTAACTAAATCAATATATCAACTATATATTTATATAAACAATTATACTTATGATTATTTTATGGAACTTTGTAGTATTCGAAATAGCAGAAACCGCAACTGCCCGCAAAGCAAAAACAAAATACCCACAAGATGAGAGGGACCTAATAGTTAAAGCAAATATTATTACTACTATGAGTATGATTATTTTATTTATATATACATATATTTATATATCGAAATACATTCCTACACAACATGTTCGTGTTAAGTTACAAATAAATTAAACTATTTATTTAAATTACAAACAAAAAACAGTTATAGTCTGCGGCGTATTAACGTTAAAGACCCACTAATTTGCCACCGATAATATCCAATTGGGCCGTTATTCCCTTTGTAACGCTGCGGGCCAACTCTTTTGGCTTCTGCAAGAGAGTGTAATAAAGAAACGGTAAAAGGGGAAGAGAGTAGTCAAGAGAGGGAAAGCTGGAACTGACCTTGGTCAAAGCAAACATACAACTAATTGCATAAGCAGTATTGCTGCTCATCTAGCTTTTTAAGCTATAAAATCTGGAGAGCTTAAAAGCAACAGGGTGCGGAAGTATAAGTTTTTCTGATTTCAGAAGTTAAAAAACACTTTTGATTTGAAAAGTAGCAAATAATTTAGATTTGTTTTTATGGAGATTAATAAAAAAACAACAAATTAAAAAGACGTTAAAATGAGAGTCCACTTCTTACTAATTTTTGTATAAGTCATTGTTTAACATTCGTTTTTAGCTGTTTGAGTAGTGTAGCTCTGACTAAGAGATCGCATGTTGGACAATCAGTGATTCAAACTGCACTGGGAATATTATGCAACGCGTGTGCGAATGGATCCACAATCGAAATAAGGCAAGTAAACACAAACAAACAAAGGCCACAATTTCGGCACTCACCTGTATGAAGGTGTTGAGCAGGTTGGAAAAGGCCTCGTAACCGTTGACAATGGACCGCGAGATGCCGTCGAACATGTCGCCATTATTGCCGTACTTTTCGTGCTCACTGATCGAATCCAAAATGGGAACGGGCTATGATCGAAATTTGAGTTAAGACGTGGTCCAGACCCACATATATCAGCATATAGCATCACTTACCTGACTCAAATCGGCCAGCTTCTTTTGGCTGTTGTCGTAGACGCTTAACACCTTCGAGGGAATGGCCTCCTGCTCCAGATTTACAGACTCAGCCGTTTTCGCTGGAGTCGGCAGCAGGGAGATCTGTGGGAAAAACTCGGTAAGTTCTTTGTCACTCACAAAGATAAAATACTAATTTTAAGTTCTCAAACCTTACAAGTTCAATAATTTTCATTTAAGAGTTTTATTTGCTCATTAAAAAATCAATTATTATATTGTTTAATTTTGTTTTCCTCATGGCTGCCTTTAAGTGTTGGAAAACAAACAAGGCATAGGTAACACCAAAGTCACACTATTGTTATTTGTTTTGCCGGCTACTGACCTTAGATGGGATGCACCGGCACTTAATCCCTTGACCCCCGACTCACCTTGAACCCGGCTCCACTGGCTTGAGCTTGCGTAGATTCCACGGAGCTATCGGCGGCAGCAAACGCATCCTCGGCTCCAAAATCGGCTGCTGAAACACGGGCGTCGATGGGCGTAGCGCCGTCAGGCGTGGCCGGGGCTATGGGCGTGGCAGAGATGCAATGTATCATGGCCAAAAGGACCAACAGAAAATGCACTTTCATATATTGCAGACTCATCTTCCTTTTCTTATTATTCGTAGAGAAGGGTAAATTACAAAACTTCGCTTATGCAACAAGTTAAGGTGATAACGTCCAGTTTGCAGTTGCCAGTTCCCCAAAAGCCAAAACCAAATCCAAAACCAGCTGCAAATCCCAGCTAGAGCTTCGATCCGAAGTCTGTCGAGTCCAAAATTCAACTGAATGGCCGCGTCTGCGCAACGATTTTATTGGTTTAACCCGACCACGAGAGTCGCCGGTTTGGACATTGAGCCACGAGCGTTTTGGCTTGGTTTGGGTTTCAGTTTGTGTTTGCAGCTCTGGTTTTTAGGGGGCATTCGGGGAGTAACGACTGACAGAGCCACTGCACGTATTGATTATAACGTAGAAGTGTACTTAAGTTTGAGCACTCACTGAGAATTTTCCCTATTAATATCTATTAAATTAAATGTCATTTTGGCATTTGATTTTTAACATTTATGTATATTTTTCTAAGGCAACTTCGATAAATTCCAAGTCGATGAAACACCACCTACAAGTTGCTAAAACCATCAAACATTTTTTCGACAGTGTAGCGTATTGATTGTAATGGTAATGACAAACAACAAACAGCACTAAAACGGTAACAATAACAACAAAAGGCGAAACCGGCAACTTGTTGCTGTCAACAAATGTTGCCGTCATTCTTTCGCAACAATGAGGAAGGAAACTCGGCTTACTCAGTTTACTCAGTTAGTTGGTCAATCGATGGTCGGCCCCCTTCCACCTTCCTTCATCAACGAATAGCCCCACACGATACACCCGTTGGTTGTGCAATTAATACTGCACACTGGAAAATAATTTTAAAGAAATTTTAATTATCATTATACCATTCTTTTTAATGTCAAAAAACAATTGACAGCTTTTCATCCTTCACCCTGCCCAAATCACTTTCACAAGGAACATCAAACAAACGGGTTGGTGATAGACTTTTCCTTTTTTTTTATCCCTTTTTCACTTCACTTTTAATTCGTTTTATTCTCTTTTATGCAAAATGAGCCCAACATCATCCAAGCAAGAAGCTACCGGCTCTGATTTATCGCAATCCCAGCAGGAGCTAATGTCGGCAAAGGGTCAGCAGGAGAATCGTGAGTTGACCAATAAGACTCGCCAGCGCCACTTGATGGCGGATATCCAGTTAGATAAGTTCAACAATGATGTCGTGACGATCATAAAAGACATGCATCAGAATGCGTCTAACTTTGTAAACAGGCATAAGAAATTTAAAGACCAAGAGAAATCCCAGCACCTGGGAGGGCATAAAATGAACGCCACTTATCAGGCACTGAACGAAGCCCGAGCCAAGGAGATGAAGAAATTCCAAGAGAAGGTGGACAATACAGATAAACAGCTTTCCCAACTGAAACTGGAGATGGAAAGGATGCAGCAGGAGCTGGAGGAGGCAGCCGTGGACCTTCTTTAGTCAGCGGACCACTCGATATCCGCAGGACCTTATAGAACAGATTATTTTCATATTGTATGACTTGCATTTATTATAATATAATATTTTTAATATGGAAATAAATGCCATGAAACATGAAATAAGTGATTTTCTTAATAGTGAAATACGAACCATTTTTAATTTTCAATTGGTAAATGACCAATGTTTCAGCCACAAGAGATATTTATTTGTGATGTATATAGTGATAGGAAGATTTTACATATCTGCTGCTCGGTAGCCAATATTTTTAGAACTCCTCGTCATAGAGTACCTCGTCTCCGATGGTTAAGACCAGAGTATCCTCATTATCGTCGTTATTGGTATCTTGGGCTGTGGGAGCATCTTGCGTATCCTGGGCATGAGGAACCGGTGAAGCCTCAGGAGCCGAGGCTCCCACTGGAGACGGAAGATTCGAAGCATCCGAAGCCGACTGGGGCATGCGATTTTTAATAACCACCAGACGTTTTTGTTTCAAATTGACAACGGTCTTGCAGGCCAGTAAGACCTTAATGTCGGTAAGCTGGTTGAAAAAATAATCCACCCGCATGTTAACCATGGCTGACTTAGTATTCTGATTCCGACGGTAGCCGGGGGCGAAGAAGTGAGTCCGCTCATAGTGAAGACTGGCCTCCGACTGCGAAGAATACTGGCGAGGGCAGTGCGGATGATGCTTTCTAACCTTCTTCACGTACTTCTCGCTGTACTCGTCTGGGAGAGAAGTTACTTTAACCCTTTAATATCACTTCGCATTAGAATATACCACTTACCCAAAGACATCAAGACCGGATTTGAGTTGTACATATTATTTTTCTGGCCGGGTTTCATCTTTTCTTTTTCCTTTTTATTTTTTAGGAATTTAGGAACATTTAAGTTATTCGACCAGTCAAGTCAAAATGAATTTTCTGACAGAGTCAATAAAAAAGGAAATCTTAGCTTTCCAGGGCTGAGGGATCGAAATTGACAAGGGCCTGTGTTAAAAGTGTGCCCCTTGGGGAAGGGGTTTTTCAAGTTGTTACTCTCTGATTTTTTTTCGTATGTGTATTAATTAATAGGGTCATTACCTAACAAGCTCGTTTATCAAAAAATTGTTGAGCTTTCGTTTCTCTTCCTCTTAACTTCGATAATTGATAAACAAAAAAAACTAAGAAATCTTAATAAAGACTATTGACAGAAATTTGCAAACTTAATAACAGCATTTTTGAATATTATTTGCTTCGATTTTAAGCTCTAGGTCTGTCAAAACAAGACGCACAGCCAAAAGAACGACTGTTTCGTGCTGCTATCGACCAACACTAACCACCCCTAACACTCGTTTAGCGATTTTGAGAAAATCTATTTTGGCCCAAATTTCGCATTTTTGATAAGGGGTACCATCATCAAAATTTTCAAAAATGGGCCAAAAATGAAGTTTCCCAGATTTGAATGCAAACCAATTGGGAATCATGGCAATCAAGTAACGAGCACTACGAGGTATTACATTCCTCATTTGGACCATTTTTGGCTGTGCTATGGTCAAAAAACTGATTTTTTATGCCCGAAATTATGCTACGTCTTTTGACAGCAGAAAGCACGGCCTAGTTGCCGTTTCTTAGCTCTAACTTTGACAAAAGCCGCATGGCTAAAGCAATGGCTGTTTTATGCAGCTAACTTTCGAAACTAAACACCCCTATACTTATTTTTTTTCGTTATTCTTCTGATTTTTTGGTGCGAGCTCTGTTTTAAGGGCTGAAAAATCAGGAAATCTATTTTTAAAAGAAATTTGCATTACTATGTTCGGGTGTTTAGCTCTAGCTCGGTCAAAACAAGGCGCACAGCCATAAGAACGACTGTTTCGTGCTGCTATCGACCAATACTAACAACCCCTATCACTCGATTTTCGATTTTGGGAAAGTCAATTTTGGCCCAAATTTCGCATTTTTGATAAGGGGTACCATCATCAAAATTTTCAAAAATGGGCCAAAAATGAAGTTTCCCAGATTTGAATGCAAACCAATTGGGAATCTTAGCAATGAAGTTACGAGCCCTACGAGGTATTACACTCCTCATTTGGACCATTTTTGGCTGTGATATGGCCAAAAAACAGATTTTTTTGTGCCCAAAATTATGCTACGTCTTTTGACAGCAGAGAGCCCGGCTTGTTACAGTTCCTTAGCTCTAACATTGTCAAAACAAGCCGCATGGCTAAAACAATGGTTATGCAGCTAACTACCGAAACTTAACAACCCTATACTTGCTTTTATCGTTTTTGTTCTGATTTTTTGGTGGGAGCTCTGTTTTGAGGGCTGAAAAATCAGGAGCCAACATTTTTCTCGGATTTTAGCTCTAGCTCGGTCAAAACAAGAGGCACAGCCAAAAGAACGACCGTTTTGTGCTGCTATCGACCAATACTAACAACCCCTATCACTCGATTTTCGATTTTGGGAAAGTCAATTTTGGCCCAAATTTCGCATTTTTGATAAGGGGTACCATCATCAAAATTTTCAAAAATGGGCCAAAAATGAAGTTTCCCAGATTTGAATGCAAATCACTTGGGAATCATGGCAATCAAGTTACGAGCCCTACGAGGTATTACATTCCCCAATTGGACCATTTTTGGCTGTGCTATGGCCAAAAAACTGTTTTTCTAGCGCCCAAAATCACGTATACGTACGTCGGTTGACAGTAGAGAGCCCGGCATTGTTGCAGTTTCTTAGCTCTAACATCGTAATAACAAGGCGCATGGCCAAACAGTATAAGTTTAGCACTTTCGTTTTTCGTTTTATCAATTTTCTCGCTGATTGGGTTTGTCTTTACTTAATTAAAAGTGTCGTTGAAGATTTATGCTGTGCCTTATCTATTCCTATCAATATCATTTGAGGCGAACACGCCCGATATCTTTACTGCTTTAATGTAATTGGGATTTGCCTGACGGCGTTTGCCAGCTGACGTAATCGGCTAAATATTTTCATTTCCTTATCAGTTTTGCTATTGTTTAGATGTAGAGACATTTATTTATATATCTAGAGCCGGGGTATAAGGTACATATATGCTTTATTGGAAACACACACACACACACACTTTCCTATGGTTTATTTACAGTGTTTGTTAAATAATAGCAACTAGTGATAGAATATTTCCAACAAATCGTAAAAAATACGTTAATCGTTAGATGTAAACAAAAAAAAAATGATATCGAGTAATGGATATGGTAAATATATGCATATGGAAAGCCGCTGCACGTCCGATATTTTGTACTCTCCTTCTTGATTCTCCTTCTTAATCATTGAGCATATTGCACAAATGTTATATGATCGAGTTATGCCCGATCAGTTGCCGAACTTTATGGACTTTTCCGGCTGGTGGGAGGAGCCGTGATTAAAGCTGGCGCTGCTCCGATTAGTCCCGTTCTTCAGGATCCCATTGGAACCCGACTCTCCATTCATTTTTCGCAGCGTTTCCCGCTTTCCTGTCGTTCTGTGATCCCCGTACTCCCCGATGGTCACTGTGCCCAATCGCAGGGTTCGCCTTTGCTGCTGACTTGTGGCTAATCCTGATCCGGATGATCCCAATCCAGTTCCTGACGGGGACCTCAGCTGAACTGCATCGTAGTCGGGCTGTGGCGTGACTGGTGGCCGGAAACCGCCCACACTGATGCTGGCACTGCGAATGGGCGACATCGGCTGCTTGACTTTGGCCAAGCTGCCGTTGCCCAGTCCACTCCCACTTCCATTTCCGTTCGTCGCTCCATTGGGGCTCATCAGCTTCAGCTGTTGGGGCGGCATCTGCTTTGGCTGGGGATTGGCGAACTGTGGTGGCTGCAAAATACAAATACAAGTTTTAACTACTGAGCTTTTGATTAGTTTTGAAGATTCTAAATCCATTTTCCAATTGCTAACGATTCTCAGAATAATGATTAATTTTTCACATAAAAAGATTAAAAGCTCAAATATGAAATTAAAAAAAAAAGATAAAACGTTTATTTGCCTTATCTGAGTCATGACTAAATATTTGGCTTAGCCCAATATGATTTTAATAAGAAAATTATATTTAAGTAAGTACCCTTTAAAGGCAAATCCCTATGTAAAAACTGAGAGATAACAATAAAGTCAGTTGGAATTCGAATTTAGTTTTATTGATAGATGACAGGTTTGGCGATTTTTGGTGGACACTCGGACACGGTTCATTCGCTTACCGGTGGCGGAAGTTCCGGCGATCCATTCCCATTCGTCGAACTTATTCCGTTCTGGGGCTGCAGGCGATTATTATTGCTGATCGTGCTCGTGTTGCTATTGCTATTGCTATTGATGTTGGTGCTGCTGCTCCTGTTGCTACTAAAGCCATTGCTATTGCTGGTATTCCGATAACAGCTCTCATCAGGCATAATCGAGGTGCGCTTTAGCGTTTCACCGCGTTCCTGCAATAACAAAAAAGCAAATGGAAAAATCCAAATTAGCAATGGATTTAGTTTTTAATATATATTGCATCCCGGGAATACCTGATAAGTGGACATGGTCACTAGGGGTCGACCCATGCTAACGGGTCGCATGGTGGGCATAAACTCTGATCCCTCCCCACCAACTCCTTCTCTTTTTTTTACGCGCAGCAAACTCATTTTCCGTTCACAGTGTGATCTACTCTCTAGAGAGTTCTTGCCAAGACTGGACAACTTCGGTGGCGCAGTTTGGTTCATCGCTCATCGGCCGACGCCTCTGATTAGATAAAGCCATTGAGGAGTAGTCACAGAACAGTCAACTCGAAAAATACCCAGTAACCCCACCTTTTTGTTTTTGGCCATTTGTTTGAACGCTTTTGTTTTGGTTTCCCTAAAAGTATTGCTCTTTTTTTCGCCCGCACAATGAGTCACCTCTCTCTTTTGGCTAAGTACGGAACTTTGAACAAAATTGGTTGGGAATTGCGACATCTTCCACTTGTTTGAGTGTCATCGATAACAATTAGACTGTCATCCAGCAAACGCAAGTATTTTATTGATTTTCGCGGAAATTAAGCTGACTTTGATTATGTGCCTTAAGTGACGGTGAAACTAATCATTTTAAATGCATTATAACTTTTATAACTTGTAATTCTTTTTTAATTACTAATCTATATTAGCTAAATGGTCACTGATCCTAACCATTACTCGTTATATGGCCGAAAAAATCTGTGGCGCTTATCGATCTAACCGATAAGATGCCATCGCTGAATGGGGCCCCGTAACAATTCATTATAATCAAGACTCCCCCCCTTGAAGCACTCAGTCCTCGAGTGGCCTGCTACTTGAGTTGTTGGTCTGTTGGGTAACTGCAACTATAAACAATGGGCTGAGAAAAGGGTGATAAGAAGGGGTTCCCAGCCACTGGCCCACGACAAGTGCAGTCTGTCGAGCTATGTAGCTCTCTTGACCTTTGCAAGTAGCCGACAATCGATAAGTCGCAGTCGATGTTGCTGCTGCGTTTTAGATGTTGCTGGTTGCTCACCTTGTGCTCGCTCTCATGAAACCCGTTCCTGAACATTCGCTGATGTGCCCGCTTGAATTCATCCATTAAAGCCGTATGCTGATCTCCACCAGCTCCGCTTGTTCCACCTGCTCCTCCACCACCGCCTCCTCCACCCAAATTGCTGATGCGTTCGCTGCCCTGCAATGTTGCAGCCACGCCAGCAATATTCGCCCGCTGGCGATGCGACACTTGGCCGCCGGAGCTGCGGTGGCCTCCGTTTCCATTTCCATTCCCATTGTGCCCCGCCAGCTGACGATCCACGTTTCCACTTCCATCTCGATCGCGATTGCTGCGCTGCTGCTGTTGCTGCTGCTGCTGCTGCTGCTTCTGCAATGATTCCAATTAGTTGATGGTGAAGCAATCTGTTGTTGTGCACCTTTAAAAATGTTACACTTAAAACCTGCTCTTTAGACTCGCTCGTGTGTGATAAGACATTGTTGATTGAATATTTTGAAAAGCTTTTACATTTGTTTAATTTAAAAGTGCTGATAAAAAACTAATATTATTTGATGCATACCAAAGTCAACTTTCTTATTTATTGTATTAAAAAAGTTGAAGACATACCTCTTTGCGCTTTTTGAGTTCCTCGGTTATGGCACTGGAGAGACTGCTTCCTACTGATCCGCCGGCACTAGCTCCTTCATTGATCGCCGGCGGCGGTGGAGCAGGTGCAGCGATAACTCGCTCTGATCCTGATCCTGGTCCCCCTGCTAGTCCTGGATGATAAACTGGCCTTAGGTGGCTTCGTTTCATGGTGGTTGCATTGCGGGATGGATTCGATTGCGATTGTTGACTGCGACCGGAAGTTCCACTAGCGGATGAACCGGAACCGGAAACGGTACTGCCACCGGAACTCGCTATGTAGGTGTTATTTATAGATGTTCCATTCTCCGTCAGCTTGATGATGGTCTTGTTCATCTGCTTGTGTACCTCGACACCCTGCGACCAGTTGGTATTTCCAGAGTTTAGGGCACCTCCTCCACCTGCAGATTCTTCCCTAACTGCTGTCAGTCGTTTGGACTTGGCGTCCGCCCAGCAAGGACTCTGATCTCCGGTCACCGAACTTGCGGAGCTATTGTAACCACTGGATTCCCCTGGAAACAGGTCACATCCGGCTGCCGTGCGAACCACCATGTCCAGTTTGCTGCTGCTTTTCATCACGGCCACGGCCTCGCTGAAGAGGACATCCGAGAAGTCGATGCTGTTGACGCTGAGGATTTGGTCACCAGGTCGTAGTCCGGCCTCTCGCGCTACGCTTCGTTCCTTGGTGAACTGGACAAAGATGCCCGGTTTCCACTCGGGACCCTTGCAAATGCCCAGTCCTAGTTTTGTCCTGGGAGCCACATGAAGGACCACACTGATGTCTCTGCTGGCGCTACGTCTCTCACCCTTGAAGGAACTCTCTGAGGGAGTACCACTTACGCTGGGCAACTTAACCACGCTCCAGGACAAACGCTCCTCTGCTTGGCTAAGATAAAAACAGCTTAGAACATGCTTGACGGACTGTGTTAAAGTTCACTTACTCCCTCACAGGCAGCATCCCTACGCCTCGCACTTTTAGGGTTACTCGATCCTGCCCAGCTACCAGTTGGATAAACTCCTTGTGCACGGCATCGTCTAGACGAAACCCATTGATCCGCAATATCTGGTCTCCAATCTGTGGGAGAAAGTAAAATGAAATTTCAAGACCAAGCCCTAGAATCCATCACGTACTGCTACGTGACTGGAGTCGTTACTGATCCAGTGGTGACCAACTGTCCTACTTACCCGCAGACCCTTTAGCTGTGCCTCTCCTCCGTGCTCTACGTGGGATACAAAGAATCCGGTGCCATGCTCCCGTCCTCCACGCACCGTGAATCCATAGGTGCTGCCCCTTTCCGGTCCGCCAACCAGAAGACGTCTTTGATGCGGTCTCACAAGGCGAAGAACCCGGAGGCGAGAGCTCGCCGGAATGGCGCACCACGAGGAGGCCGCCGTAGTCGTCAAGGTCATTACATCGCTGGACGCTGAACTGGTCGTCGATCCCTGCATGCTGCTGCTGCAATCCGTCGATGCCGAATTGGTTATCGATGCGGATGTGGATATCGTGGCCGAAGCTGCTGTCATCGTCATCATTTTGGTCTCAGCGCTCTTTCACAGGCAGCTGTAAGTAGGAAAGAAAGGAATATACATATAATAAATATATAAATATAGAAAACAAATCATTGAAAGTCAATAAATCCCTCGCTACGACATTTTCTATCATTCGAAAAACAGCCTTGAAGAGTTGCCAAAAAAGCCAGTTAAGTTGATTTCATGCGAAAGTTAAAGAAAGTGGGGAGTGTCTTCCAGTACCGTTCCTCGTACCGCTTCTGGAAAATAAAGTCCAACGTTGGCGACGTGAACAGCCTGGCAAGTAATGAACGAAGAAGAAGAAGAAGCAGAGGCAGAATGCAAGGCGAGACGAGACATATGTATGTACAAACATTCGTACAGATGTACATACATATCTGCATTCATACATAAATAAAGTGAGCAAAACTTGAACTTGCAATCGAAAATTTCCCGAATTGGGTCACACGCATCGGCAGAGGCAGTGCTGCTGGTGGTTTGTATACACTGGACAAAATTTTGATAGCATAAAGCAAACACACAGTTGAACTTAAAATGTAACTTATATTTTAGATATCTGAAGATTCTACGAGCTTTCAGTCTGTTGTAAAAACAGTATGCAGCAATGCTAAACTCTGTTTAAATAAATTTATGTACATTTTAGACCTTTTGTTTTTTTTTCAATGCATTCGTGGTGCTGGTGGCGCTCTTTTCAGTGGTGGTGCCTGCTTTCACGCACCACTGCCAGTTGGTAAGTTTGTAAGTTTGTAAGTTGGTAAGCCAGAGATCTGTGGCGATTTACATTCACTGACGCCGCCGTCGCATAATTTCACTTTTTCACGTAATTCTACGCTTCACTTGCAGCGGGACAAAATATACAAAAAAAAAAAAAAAACAACAACAACAACAACAACAAAAAAGGCGAAAGAAACTGGGGGAAAATTATAGAAATTTATTATTGAAATTATGCTGCCCCGCTGGGTTGCTGGGCCGTTCGGTCTCTGCATTTATGCACTTTGATTTAGAGGGAATCAGCTATTTGTTAGCTGCTACAGCAGCTGCCATATAAATCATTTAGCTCGCCAAAGTTCAACTCACTTACCAACGACCCGAAGACAATTTCAGGGGGGAAAGGTGGAGGTGACGCCAATCTGAACTGCCGAACTCGAATTGCCTCAGTTACCCACTTACTGCGCACCACTGACGCAAGCGGCAATTACTTGGATCAAAACATTTATAATTGCCCGCCGACTAATGGTGAAATATGAATCGGAATTTCAAATTGCAATCTGAATGGGAAAGATATAAATCATTCGATAATCGGGACGGGGAGCTGGTCTGGTTATGGAAAAGATTATGGTGCAGGAAAAGTGTGTCGAATGGAAAGATAATTGTAAAATATATAGAATTGGGTTATGTGAACAGGCGATCGAAGTAGTTATAAAATGTAATGGGTATACTTAACACACGCTTAACTAGTTGGCTCAGTGGCTTACTAATCGATCGATTTTCGAAATTATCTAAATTGCCTCATCGAATCGAAATGATTTCGTCATTTTTCAAGCTGTTACTAAACTAGGCTCTGGAATATGGATATGAAATGCTTTTACTTCGAAAAATTATCAAAATTACACAAAAACTAGCTCTGTCATCGAAACTAACTGATTTTTAATAACTTATTAATAATAATAAATCATTGAAAATTATTAAAAATCTTCAATTGGGCCATTAAAAGTAGATTGTTGCAGAATTTGTTATCTATAAGAATATGACAATATTGTACGAGAAATAAAATATTTAAAACTACAAAAGATATGTACTTTTAATTAAGATTTTTAGGTAGATAACTATTAAAACTAGAGGGTCGTTTTGCCAAGTACATAATTTCATATGTACTTTTTTATCTTCTAACTCAAATCGCTTCTCTAAACCTTGCTCACTATAAACCGACATTGACTTCGATTAACAACCATTGATAAAAATATGTTGCATTCAACACACATCCGCTGGCAATTTGGCATCCCAGCAATGCCACCGATTAACGACAATTATCGGCGGTTAAGTTCAGACCCAGACACAAATAACTCGGCTTTTATCTGGATAATGGAGGAGTTTCCCGACCTGAAAGACAAAGATCTCGTTTATCGATGCCGATGAAAAGCGGCAACATGCAACTAATAACTAACAACTAGCAACGTGCAAGCTGCAACTGGCAGACAACAACTTGCAACACCACTCCCTTTTCCTTTCGACAGTTAATAACAATAGAAAGAGAGTAATAATAATAATGATAATCTGTTTCAGTGCCCGCCACAAATTATTTGGCAGTTACAATTAAGTTTCGACAAACAACTGCAGCAGCACCAGCAAGAAAGCGTCAGCCAAAACAAAGCCAAAAAGGCCAACGTCTTTGACGGCCTTTCACCTGTTTGGAGGAAAAAGCAACTGCCGTACCGCTGGCCCCTCAAACCTCTCCATTTGACCCCCCGCTGACCCCTACAATTAGTTCTAATGAGTTGCTGTTGCTGTTGCTGCTGCTGTGGCATCTACAACTTCCTGTCACGCCTCAGATTTTCACCTTTCCCCGCGTTTTTATCTTTTCTTTTCCACCATGTTGACACTTTCCGTTCGGTTTCCGTTTGGCAATTGCTCAGCTCTGGCTAAGACTTTAATTGAAAAAGCCAAAAGCAAAAAAAAGAAGGCAAAATAAAAACAAGAGAGCAGTAAAAATAACAAGCCTTGACCACTGGCTGATTTTGATTTCCATACGAATTTCATGCTTGGCAATTCCTCCGAAATGTAGAAAGAAATTTTCTTGGTTTTTTGCTAAAAACAACAAGTAAAAATCTGTTTTTATAGCTTCGTTTTCGGTTGCTTCTTCTTAGGCAGCTAAAATGTAGTAATTATTTGTGGACATGACTTTCTCTGCATATATGATAATTTTCAGTTGTTCGCCGCCTGTCCAGCATCCAGTATGGGCTGTCTTGTTTTTGGATGCTCTTTTTTATATACATTTTCTTTGTGCCTTACCTTTTTTTTTTACCGGCTCACGTAGGCTTTACAGTGTGTTCTCCGCATTACATGTGCGTGACAAGCGCGTTAAGTGTTTTCCCATTCGGATCGAGATCGAGATTCGTTGGACTCGAATTAACAACGGGTTCTCTTTAAATTGATAATCACGCCCCGACTTTAGCTTTTTGTTTCAGTGTCAGTTCTTTGATTGCAGCTCGGAATTTCACTCGAAAATGTGGAGTACAATGTCGATTTCATTACCCCTGAGTCATGATCGGGGGAAAGTCGTTAGGGCTCGCTGAGCCATCGGGTTCTATGTGTCTCATGGTTGTCAACGCCTGTTGAATGATTTATAGGCTCATTTCGGCACACTTCTCTTCCATTAAATGTCTTAGGTAATAGCTAACGTGTAAGTTGAGTTAAGATCTTTGACCCTTTGAAATCTCAAAATGTATTTTACTCAGGGTTTCACCATCTGCAAATTGCAATAGTTTTGTGATATAATTACCAAAGACCGTCAGCTGAATTCAAGGGCAACTATGATTGACAAGCGATTCCGATTCGGCGTACACTTGGCTAATCTTTCAATCGGCATTTTCTTTTAGAGGGAGACATCCACAACAACCACTCCGTGTCATGTCGAATTCCCGGGCTGGCTCGTCAAAACTGATTTATCTCGTCGGCTTACGAAGTGGCGCGTTCGTTGCCTAAGTCTTTCGATTTGAAGATTTCAGCAACAAGAGAAACACAGATTAGTAGCTCCAACTGCGACTGCGACTGCTGCTGTTGCTGTTTTACCTTTAATTATGAGTTCATTGGGCATGATTTAATTGCTCACGTGTCGCAGACAAACGGAAAATGGAAATATTTGCACGTAGCATGCAGCATTTCTCCAGTGCTTTTCGAATCATTTTCATATTTGAATAGGCAGGAGCAGCAGCTGCTGAAGAAATTACAATAAATAAAAGAGAAATTTCTGTCGAATTTGTCGTCCGTTGGACACACACGTGTGCGCTTGAATGGCTTGTTGCATGTTGCATGCTGTTTGCTAGTGTAGCTTTAGCTCTTGCTGATGCGCACCTGTGCCCAGGCTTTTACTTCCGCCGCGGCAATCAGGCAAACGCACGACTGACAACGTGACAAATTGTCGATAATCTAAGCATCCTCTCCAGCAGCCCAGGCATTTTTCTGGTGAAAACTTCGCTTGCAGCTTATCGCCAAATTTGCAAGCAATGTCAAACGTGGGTTATGCCACCGAGGAGGATGCGCCATGGCCATAATCGTGATGCAGCGTCCCAGCAACTCCATAAATACCAAATGTTGCTGTCGTGCGCAAGGAAGCCACTGGCAACTTGCAACTGGCAACAGGCAACTTACAGCAGCTTGCCGCCCGGCTGGCTGGGAATCTGCTCCTTCGTCTGGAGAAAGCGCCTTGTGCACTTTTACTCTGGCTCATTTTAATTGCAGAACATTAACAACGATGTGTGGGGGTTAAAGGAAGGTGCCTGTGCCTGTGCCTGTGATGCCGCTGGCTTTCACCTTCAGCCAATTAAGTGCAGCTTATGCAACATCGGTAAAGGATTGCTTCACACATCGCACAAGCTGAAGGGCAAAGCTCCAAGTCTCACTGAATTAATTGGACGATTGAAAGCTTAGATCCTATTGGTAAGTAAGTCTTTAAATAAATTTAATCATAGGTAAAGTAAAAACTAACTAAAAACTAAACTAATCAATAAATACGATTTTTAATTAGGCATACAAGCTCGATAAATAACCCAGAAATTGCTTTTGCTATAGAAAAAATGGATCATAAATTGTATAAATAAATATTTTTGGTCATAACTTTGGTGAATTTTATGTGGCAGCTGATGCTGGGACTTAAACGCTTCGTGTGTGTGGCAATGGGACACAGCCAACAGCAGCAACATCATCAACATGAGACGCTAGTGAAACCGTCGGCTGGCAAAACAATTTAAATTTTGCGCTTCAAATCATTCAGAGTTTGATTGCGT